GTAATAATAAATATTTAATAAGCTACATCCTCAAAGAACCTGGTATTACCTGATACCACCCATAGTCGTTAAGTTTAATCAGAATTTTTAGTATTTATATATCGCATCAAATGCACATAAAAAATTAATATATAGTCGAGTAATAGAACCGGAATTGATACTGTCAAACAAAACAACAAGAACAATAACAATTACTGCTCATCAAGGTGTACATCAGCCGAGTAAGTCACAGAAATAACAATTTTGATTCGGAACTTCATAGAAATAAAAAAACAGGTTTGATACATATAATATTAACAAAACATAAAATACCATATATATATATATATCTATATATATCTCATATATTTGATTCGTATGTAGTATCTATGCACCATCTATGTATCGTACTTCCCTATAGGCGCCAACCCGCCCAAGCGATCTGGATCAATTTCACAGGGCGATCTCTTATACCCGGGGCGTGTTCTAGCTGAAAAAAAACCCCATGTCAAACCGTCAAACTCGCCGAAAAATCCGTGAAAAACCCCTCAATTCGCAATCTTCACACAATGCCGAGGCATACAGCCCTATGGCATTGATTTTCTGCCCTCACCTCATGATCTCATCCAGCCTGCTGTATGTGAAACCTAAACGAAATCGAAACTAAACAGAGCATAAACCACGATCACGAGTCACGACATTTCAGAGGTAGCTACTGACACTCTTCTGTTCACAGTTTCGGATTAGATGCTACATCTCGAGAATGCATTGACCATCTTCCAAAAGCTATGATTTTCTGATTCAATACAAAATTCTCTTACAATTTCACACTGCTGGTGCTGTGCACGCGCCAAGCATTCACTAACAATTATCCAGTGAGACACGCAGACCCCACACCCCCATCGGGCTGGCCTGTCTCTATCTATACATATACGGAATTTCTTATTTCCGCGTAGCGAATCTTCACCAATGGATAGCTGTAGCGTGGGGAGCTCAACGAGTTTGGATACCCCAGGCATCTCTACACATTTCCACCAGAGAACACACGAAAAACATGTTTATCAAGGTACTTTGAAAGCGAAAAGTACCAACCATCTCGTACATGATTATAAGTAACAATAACTTTTGTCCATTTACTCCCATATTACTGCTGAAGGGTCTGATGCCCCGCTCCCCCCGGGATCTGGCGGGAACCGTACCCTGGGACGGTGAGTGTATACCGGAACGTACCCTGGTACTATCTTAATAGCCGGACCGTCCTCGCCTTACTCCACTAACCGACGTCTAGGGGTCGCCTACGCCCTAACTCCTAACCTCCAACCCTAACCTAACCATATCAAATAGCCACCAGGGTACGTTCCCGTATACCTGGGGACATAGACTCCCTATGAGCCAATATTACTATTAATAATTATTCTCAGGTGTTCTAAGTTGGGTCTGGTCATATAAATTCATACCGTACACATTTTTTCGCCCATGCTTATTATCTTATTAGACCGATTTCTAAATATTGATATTGGGTGCAATCATTGTCGATGTTTACCCAATGTTCCTACTGTGTCCCATTATTAGTATAGTAGTATGAATTAGTAGCACGATTTTACCCAGCGCAGCGGGTACCCGCAGCTAGTAGTTAATATTACAGTATGAATTTGTGGTAGCTATACGCAAGTAGGGCACGAATGAATCCTACAATATACGGGAGAACACTACAGCTCTGCGGAGGATTCAAGGAATCTGTTCAGTGCAAGATATATTTGTTACAAGGTTTACAATTGGTTACAAGGTGTGTTTGGTTTGGGTATATGCTAAATAATATTATAAAATGGCTCGGATATTTTATGCATCATGATTGGTCAAAACGCGTCACGTGACACGTACGCCGTTGTTGTTATAATGCACGCCAAACCGTGTAAAAAAGCGCGCAAAAAAAGTTATATTGCACGCTCGCGATTATGTTAACATTTACAATAATAGCATCAAACTAAAATTGAGTAATGTAGATTTACTATTGATTTTCTAGACTATTTATCTAGACTGTTTATCTAGACTTACTGATCAGTGTTAAATTGTTATAGTGTGTGTCGCAATTTAATCAACTGTAAATTTGTTTGTTTTTGACTTTCGGGACTGGAATAAATTTTCGTGATCTAGCCTTACTATTTATTTTCTAGACTATTTATCTAGACTGTTTATCTAGACATACTGTTAATTGTGTGTGAAGCAATTTACTAAACTGTAAATGTGTTTGTTTTAACGTTCGGAATTAAAATAAATTTTTGTGATCTAGACTTAATTACTATTTATTTTCAATTAATTGTGTGTGTCGCAATTTTATAAAACAGATAACGCACTTGGCCTGTGGCGAGTTGACGCGTCTGGAGATCGGTGAGCTCGGTTCGCCGGCTAATTCGTGTACTAACTCTAATATCTCGCGAACGATTTGAGTTACATTTCTAAAATTCTAGATATATATAAACACATGTCTTAGCTATGGTTTCTGTGAATTTTGAGTTTATTGAAGCACGAATAGTTTAATTAATTACCAGAAATATACGTACGCGCGGTATCGTCATAGGCTAATATACGCGCGGTTATGGGCAGTAGGAAAGTGTACTATAACTCTCTAATATCTCGCGAACAATTTGAGTTACATTTCTAAAATTTTTGATATATATAAACACATGTCTTAGTAAACACATATATTGTCTATCTTTTATATTTATATATTATCTATCTATATATTTTTGAGTGTATGAAGATCAGTATTAACTTGAAAGTAAAAATTGTTTGTTGTTTGTTGTTTGTTGAATTCGACATCGTCTTTCACATGCAACTCCTTTTTTTCCCCGATATATATTATGAGAGATATATATTAGATATCTATCTATCTATCTATCTATTCATCCATCCATCCATCCATCCATCTATCTGTACATCTACCTATATCTGTCTGTCTGTCCGCGTCTATCTATTTATCTATCTATCTATCGATTAATTATTTATTAAAGGATGTTTGCATCTGTGTGCATCTGTTGCATTATGTGTGTGTGTGTGTGTGTGTGTGTGTGTGTGTGTGTGTGTGTGTGTGTGTGTGTGTGTGTGTGTGTGTGTGTGTGTGTGTGTGT